TATATGTTATTAATTATCACTATTAATTATTATAATTATTATAATAATAACATAGTAATAATAATATTGTTACTATATTATTATTATTATCATTAACCATTATTATTAATTATTATTATTATCATTATTATTATTAATTATTATTATTAATTATTATTAATTATTGTTAATTACCATTATTAATTATTGTTATTAATTATTACTATTAATTATTATAATTATTATAATAATGATTATAATAATTATTATTATTAATTAATTAATTGGAAGGTGAGGCGAAGTAAGATAGTAGGGAATGCAGTGAAGAAATTACATGGGCAAATTGCAATCAAAGTAGCAACGTTTTAAAGTTAAACAATCGATATGCATTAGTGTTTGGCTTATCACAAATGCTATCAAATTAAATTATTCATGAAAACAGCAAGGACTCTTTTATCACAATCTTGAATGCAGTTGCTCTTTAATAATTTGAAATTAAATTAAGTTCACTTGATTGTTTCATATTACTAATTCCACACCGAACGCAAAGATCTATTTGGTTGATTGCCTTCCTTCTTGGTTATGCTTTATGGTACCTTTGCTCATTTGTAACGAAGAGGTCCTCTATTTTGCCTGAATTCATTTCAGCTTGTTTGTCTTTTATTGACTATTAATAGGTAGTTATTTATTAATAAAGTTTTCCTTCATTATTTACTTCCCTGAAATAACAGGAGTTTTGAGTAAGAAGCGCGACAGCTATAAAGAATTACCAAAACACAAACTTATTTGGTAAGTGCAACTGCTAGTCTCAGTACTTTCGCTCCGACGAGCATATATATATATATATTTCGAAAGTCTTTTGAAAATGTAGTTTATTTTTCTCAGTGATCTGACATTATGAGTAGAATGCATGTGAATAAGAAAAGGATAGTCGCATTATCAGCATCATTATTATCGATTATGATGATGTCACATATACATACTACTCATATATATCACAATGCTAGTATAGATAGTTTAAAGTGATTAATTAGAATATATTTGTAGAGAAATATAGCGATACCTTTGCAATTCGTCATATCTTTTGATGATGGGTCGGTCATTCTTGCTGGTGCAATACCCCCTGAACATTGTTAACGTTAAATGATATCGTAGCGATAACCTAGATCTGCTTTTCTAGGGCATACCAGTAGTGATCGTTGTATTCGTTCATTCATCGTTATCCTCTACAAGGAGTGGTCCGCATTTTATTACACTAATTTCTATCTTACTATTTTTCTCTTAACATTCTTAATAATTAATATTATATATTTCTAATGTTATATGAACTCATTTTTACTTTATATGATATTTCCCTGATAGAATTATCAGCAATTCTGATTATAAAAGACGAGACGGACAATTTAGCTTAATTCCAAAATTTAAAATTAAAAGAAATCGTCTTTTCCAAGCTTCTTTAACATGATCTCGAAAATTTTAGGATAGTTAAGAAAAATCTGCGCTGTAGTTGGATGAAATTAGTACAACACGAGACATTTATGAAAGCTCAAACAGGTTGACCTTTTACGGTTCTTGACCACCAGCTTGCTAGCAAATTATCGGAAGCCTATGAACGTCAAACTGATGGGTAAAACCGTGTGATCCGAAGGCCAGTATATAGCCATATCCAAAATAATAATTGGCGCCACAGCTCTGAAACGTATTGTACTAAATGCTGTAATAAAAGAGATAACTGACATTGAATTTTAGTGCTGTACTCAGCTTTTTTTCATTCTCAATTTCTAATCGAAATTTAATTTGAAATTTAATGGTAATTTTCCGTCGTAATCACTGAAACTTTTTCTACTTCTTAAGATTGCAAGAAATTCTAATTCTGGAGCTAACTAAAGCACAAGTTGGAGCTCGTCATTTTGATCACTTCTCCCTTTCCTGATAATCATTGAAGACATAAATGCTGCTGGATCAGTGCGTTTTCCATTCCATATTTGGTTGGATATTCAAAAAGTTCACATTTGCCATCTTTCTCTTATTTACTTTGCATTCCACTGAGGGCTTATCCGCATACTTCTGCAAAATACAAAATGCAAAGAATAGTGATATGCTGCTATGAGTTCGTTATATTAAATGCATGGCATAAGACTAAGTCTAGTAGAGAATGTGATTTAAATACTAATTACATCGTCGTTGCAATCAAGAGGAGAGGAGTTGGTATCTTGTAGTGTTAAGATGATAAATTTTTTCTGCGACAGTGTTTTTTTTTCCAGTAGGTTGGAAAAACATTTGGCATAATACTAATGGAGCTAAGAGTGTCGGCTGATCTAAACTGAGGTAAAAATCAATAGACTGACGGCTGAAATTAAAAGATTTGAAATCTCATTTGATTTCTCCAAATATCATCAAATTGAACTCACAACTTTTCTTTTCTCGTAAACTTTTGACGAGATACTCTTAAAGATTTGAATTCCACTGTAATATATATCACATATTTTAACTTTCAGTAATGAAAGTCAATTTTCCTTGGCCATTTTTTACTTTTTCCTTCTGATGTTTACCTGTTAAATAACTAAAGATGAAATCTGGCAGATTTTTGCAGCATTACCAAGCAGTTTTTTTAATAGTTGATACAGTTTTAGCGTTGTCAAGCTTTAAATGCAATAGCTATAATAAGATAAAAGCAGCGATCTTTTAAATGATAGTTTGTGTAGTTCAAGAGATTTCTGTTTGATTAGCCATTAATTAGCCACTATGGAATACAGCAGTTCACTAGTTTATTTCAAAATTTTGAATACTTCTTTCAACTTCCTCACCTCAGTGATGATTGGATTTTCCAAGAATAGAAGTATATATACTTTAATGATTTCATTAACTGGAATTCCAAGGCTTCTGAACCATCAGTGTTTGTGATAAAACATTAGTATTGTCATATTGCTATTTTTTTATTATTCGATGAGTGATACGATTTCCTCCACTTTTGCTGTTTTGGGAAAAGAGAACACTCCTCAAAAAGTACACTTAAATCGATGACTAAGCCCGCTTTTCTTGGCAGCTATCAAAAAAAAGTATTGTTTTACACAGACAAATGTTTCCTGGTTTGGTTTATAAAAACGCATCGATGGTTAGTTTCTAAATAGATAATTTTTGCAAGATATTTGCAGTATGGCACATTAATTTCATTTCCTTGTAGGTTCGTATAGCGAAGATTCCTCAAGTAATATTATTCTACCTTTAGATTGTTTTATTAGATACCTTCAAATCACTTTTTCCCTTGTGCTCTGCAATGCAGATCGTCCTACTAAAGTATTTTTCTGTTTAAGCATTCGGAAAAAGAAACTTCTAATCCAAGTACTT